ATTCTCTTTCTTTTCTTTTTTCTTTTTTCTTTTTCTTTACCTCATTGAAGAATCTCTCGACCCACGAGTCCTCAGTATTTGGACCCATCACAGATCTCAGAACCTCCCGAAACTCTTCAAACTTCATTCCCCGCTCTTCACCTCCACCTCTTGTCTTTCCCTTGGGCCTGTTTTCCCGCACCTGTAGTTCAGCTTCTGAACAGGTGAATGCATTTCTGAGGAGCTGCAGGTGCTCTGGACTCAGCTTCTCTGCAGGACTGACACCACAGGCTGGATCACTGCAGGGACCAGCACAGAAATGTTAATTTGTGGAGAAGCAGAAGAAACAGTACAGAAGATCTCTAGTGGTCAGGAGTCCACTGGTATCATCCTGTAGGGGAAGGCGCCACTCTGAGCATAATCTGAGTGACTATTATAGGAGGTATAATTAAGGACAACACCTGCATTTAGTCTTTAAAGTTTCTGAGAAAGTCTTGGGTTTATGACTGCAGCCAGTGAGCCAGGAACACAGGTGGACTGGGTGTGTAGGTACACAGCTGGCAAAACATTGTTATTCCTTAAGCACTGGAGAACTGCTGAGGCTTTGAGTAAAGCGTCGAGGTAAGATTGAAGCCAAAGATTAATCAGAGACAGCTTCCCGTCTTGGCAATCACCTCTTAGAGTTTAGTGAGTTTTGACCGTTAATTAGGGTTATCCAGTCTCTAAACTCTGCTGACAGGCCAGGCTGACTGCAGAATGAAAGCAGCGCTCCCATGTGGCAGCAGTGGGACAACACACTGCTCATCCAGCCAGAACTCAGCCTAAACTCCATAGTTCAGTGTCCCAGCTGCCAGCATCATACCCTCAATCTCTGATAGTCATCTCATACATCATTCTCTACCACTCTCCTCACATTCAGCCAGTCTGTGGACTGCCCAACCAGAGACGGTGGGGCCTTGGACCTGCTGTGTGCTGACACCAGGATGCATATTACTTAATTATTATTTTCTTGTACTTTCTATATTTTTGGATGCTGCTGTGGCGTGTAAATTTCCCCCATTCTATTCTAAAACAAAGCTTTAATCTAATTTTTTCCCCTTAAGTGATAGGAATAAGTAATGTAAGTTAAATTTGGGGGACATGCTTTAAAAGTGTTCCTCGCCACTAGCAGCTCCTGTGTGGGCCTGTTGCTCAGGGAGACTACGGACAGAAACAATAAGTCACATGTCTCAGCTTTGTGAGCTCTTTTCCATCAGGGCACGCATGAGTGGTCGTTTACATCATGAACATTTCTCACAATCAACCAATGGAACCATAAAATCATTAGGTAGTAAAGTCGTCGTAATTTGCTGACAAAGGAGTTTAAACAGGCTGTTGCACCTGAAAGAGCTTGTGGATGGAGGAGGGGACAAGTGTTTAAACGGAAAGAAATATGTGGATTTAAGAAGTCAGAGGAACGTTTGTTGCTAATGTACAACTTATTCTGACTTTCAATAAGTTGCTTCATGTTCTGGGTGGATGGATGGACAGGTAATAGGAAACTTCAAGAGTTGGGAGAAACCTTTGAATTTAAATAAGAAGATGTCAGAGGTGATACTAAATGAAAATGCATGCATAGTTTGTGCTAGATAATAAAAAAAAAGGCTTATGCAGTATCAACAGTTACATACAGTTTATAGTAATCACTTACATTTATCAAGAACAAATATGAAAGAAAAAATTTAACAAAACTCACCAGAACCTGCTGTGTGGCACCTCTGTCTCATAAAGCATCCACAGATTTTTGTTGTTCCTTGAGGTATCCATCCTGATAACCTCAATCATTAAATTCCTCCAGATTCTTCCGTCTGTATTTTATGTTCCTCGAGTTAATATCCCAGTGACAAAGACAGACGCAGCCACCACAGAGTTGAGGCCAGTCTGAAATCCTCACCGTGCCCTGAGCCTCATCGTACAGAGCCTTTTGTCTCCGTCCCTTCTCGTCTTGTCGTGCAAACCTCAAACAAAGCTTCTTGTCTTCACACAGGGAAGGAATGTCCACATCCACAGATCAATAAGCTGAAAAAGGAAAGTCAACACATCATTGAAGGAGGGGACTGTGGAGAGCGAAGAGTTTCCAAAATAGCGTCAGGTCTACTGGGGGTAACAGAACCACAGACGAGCCCTCAGCGGGTTAATCATTTAAAGAAGCATAGTTAGTTCAGACCTGGGGGGGTTAAGATTGGTTACTTTTATCAAGATCAAATATAGCTCAGCTGCTCTAACATCCTTGACAGTAAGGTGTCCACAGCAACTATATTCTAAAATCACAAAGAGTGTCATACTGACTAATGTTGTTTAATTATTACCAGGCAACCCACAGCAGTTTTGCTTACCACTTCAATGAGCATGAGCTATCCAGGGTGTCCTCCTGCTAGGTTTAATGAAGGTACCCAAGTCCCAGTGGAGGCCGGCCTGCCGGGCAATTCCCTGCACCTAATTTTACATGTATAGTTACACTGACAGCAACCGGGTCACATAACCACACCTGATACAAGAGGAAATGTCTAATAACAGAAAACACAAACCCAAAGTAGTCATGTATTATTTTATACATTTTGCTATTAATGACACCTTTAGTTTCCCTGCTATGGCATGTTAAAATGACTACATGCAGTAGAAATCAAAACTGTGACTCAAAGAGAATATTTGTGAATAGTTGGGAGATGTACTTTAAAATATGGCACCCCAAATTATTAATAACAGTTTAAGCAAGACTTTTTTTTTTCACACTGTTATATTATTTCTGGCTTCCTGTTATACTGTCGGTGTCCAATGTCACATGGTTAGTGTGTTTTATACCCATATCTGTCAGTGCAGCGATGTCATTAGTAAACATTTGACAGATGTGTCCGACTGAACATTGTAGGATACATTACAGTCATTATTTAGGTGGGCCTGTTTTAATGTTTTCTGTCCATGTACAGACAGGTGAGAGTTTTGGGTATTCTATTGTGTTGAGATCTGGTGATTGTAAAGGCCACAGCAGTGACCTTTCACCTCTCAAAAGGGAGGAGTGGACCCAAAGGGTTCAGCTTTTTTCTGTCATGTCTCATACCAGGTGTTAGGTCTTATTTAGTTTTTTGTCTTGTATTTGTGTTGTCTCGTGGCTTTTATTTTGAAACCTCTTTGCCCTTGTGTTTCAGGATTCTTGCCCTCTCCCCGGTGTTTCCTGTGTCTGATTGTCTACCCAGCCCTGATTGTCTCCACCTGTTCCTCATTACCTTGTGTGTGTATATATAGTCTGCGTCTCCCTTTGTCCTGTGCCAGTTCGTCTTGTCATTGAGTCAAGCTTCACGTTCTAGCCCTCTTCATGTCCATGATTTCCCCGTTCATGTCCTTTGTGGAAACTACCTTCAGGTTTTGTATTTTGTTTGCTACTTTGTATTCAGCCTCTTTCCTAATCAAGTGTTTGAGTTGTTACTTTGTTTAGAAAGATTGTTAAATTTTCCTCATTGAGTGATTTTTAGTTTGTATTTCCTCAATCGAGTGATTTTTTGGTTCTTTATTCTCCTCGTTAGAGTGACGCTTTGAGTTTAGATTTTTTTTTTATTGTTGAATGATATTTCTGTTGATACTTTTGTAAATAAATCAGTTTGAGAACATTTTGAGTTTTTGGAGTCGTGCATTTGGGTTCGCCTTTTTGTGGTCTTGTCATTTTCTTTAAGTTGTCACAGACTGACACCTACAAAGTATGAGAAAAGGCCATCCCCTAGTTTCTTTACAACACCTGCTCTGCTGTTAATTCTGCAATATTTTTGTATAAAATGATCAGTTAGAGAGAAGTCAGAAGCAATAGAAAGTCTTGGTCTCACACATTTATTCACAAGCTGGCATATATGGAATCACAGGAGTGCCATAATAAAAAATAAGTTTAAAAAATACGGAAATAAATGTGTAAATACAAAGAGGAATAAATGAAAGAATCGATAAAAAATGAAAAAATATGGAAATATAAAGGTACATTTTGTCTTTGCTTTTCACTTTTCCCTTTGTTTTTTCCCTTTGTTAGCACCAAGCAGGAATCATGTGATCAGGTATTGACTCTGGACAGAAAGTCCCGCCCATAGCCATTTGATTGACAGCTCAGTCCATCAAGTAAAAACAAAGGCACAATGGAAAGAGCAAGGACAAAACAAACAAACACTGACAAAAGGAAGAAAGCAATGACAAAAAGAAAAAACAATGTCAAAAGGAAAAGACAAAAAGGAAAAAAGCAAATACAAAATGGAAAAACAAAGGGAAAAGCAAAGACTAAATTTACCTCTACGTTTCCATATTTTTTAAAATTCTTTTATTTATTCCTCTTTAAATTTACACACTTGTTTTCTTATTTTTTAACAGATTTATTTTTCATTATGGCACTCCTGTGACTCCATAGCCGGGTGCTGCTTTGCTCCACACTGTCAATCACATGCAGACAGAATCAGCAGCAGTTACAGACACTGAAACTGTAGGTTTAGGACAGGGATAAGCACAGGAGTTATCTATTTATGGGAGAAATTATTCATTTTTGAAGCGATTTTGAGCTGAAAATGGTAAATTCGCATTGTTGGGGGACATGTGAGGCTTTCATTAATTTGCTGAAATGGGGCCTAATGTGTCCTCTACAGTTTTGAGGATGTGTTACCTGGTTCCGCCACTAGATGGAGCCACAGCAAAACATTTGAGCCAACGTGCAGAGACGGAGTTCTGGACTTTTTCTACAATTAGCAATTAGAAAAGACATTTTGGAACTAACCAGAATAGCATTTGATGATCTATAATGAAGATGTACCTCTATGATCACACAGAAACCTCTCCGGAGAACCTCTGTCTCTGAGTCCTCCTCTCCTCCAGCTGTTCTCTGCCGTCTCCTCTGACACTCACAGATGGCAGCAGCAGCTCACCAGCTTCAGCTTACCAATAATTACACACCCGTGACACGCCCCGGCTTCCCCCCGTCCCCTCCTAACGGGTCCTGGGCTTCCTGGGCCAGTCCTGCCCTGTGTGCTCCAGTGATGGGGCGGTGAGGATGCCAGACAATCTCCTGCAGACTTTTCTTTATTAATTCCATCTCTCTTTTTTTTTTCTTTTTTATCCTATTTGCTGCCATGTTGCGGGTTGTAGTGGAGTCGGCTAGAGGGCTGCCTAAGAAGAGAGTTGGAAGTCCTGATCCAATTGCCTCTGTGATTTTTAAAGGTAAGTCTCCATGTGGTGATGGGTAAAACTAACTTGTAAACTCATAGTAGTTCTTATAGCTCTATGTGAGGTATGTAATTGAAACCAAATGAGTCTATTGTCACCTAAGTATTTTTTTTAAGCTCTTGTTATAGCTGATTGTGCAATAATTCCCAATTGTGAATTTAAAACTGAAAAAGTTAAGATTTTTAAGTTTTAGTATGGTCCAGAAGGTTTTGTCAGCTTTTCCAGATGCAAACACAGCTGGGCAGGAACTGTACATCTGCAGGATAAACTGAGTATAAATGGGCTGAGGTGAAAAAAAAGAAAGAAAAAGCACTCCATGATAAAGGGCAAAGGCAAGTTAGAAATCGTAGAGAAATCAGCCCTCAGCTACTGCATTAAAATTACATCAGACGCTTAAGTATTTCACAAAACAGTATTTCCTCCTGGATATGATTAGTTAATCCTGGCAGCGTGCCCTCGTTGATCTCAGCTGTTTGTTTTGTCCCGGTGTCATCATCAGTTACAGGAATGACTACTTTTGCCATCTCCCTTTTAAAATCAGAATCTACCGCACAGTGAAAACACAACATCGAGCATTTTTATTGTTTAGAAAAAAAAAAAGAAGAAGAAAAAAGAGAGAAACCTCCTGTATTCACTAAAACTGTTTCCCTTCCAGATGAGAAGAAGAAAACTAAATCGATTGACAACGAGTTGAATCCTGTATGGAATGAGGTACGCACAAAAACACACACTCATGACTAGTGTTTAGATAACTCCTTTACTTTGCTTTTAAGTCTGTTTACATCAGTTGCTAAGGAAAGCAGCAATAATTGATGTAATGCAAGATGTCTCCGCTATAACTGCGTTACTTGACATCACGTGGCAATTATATCCGCAGACATCACATGATTGTCACGATTCAGATTTAGCACGTCAATTAATTAGGATGTGGCTGATCTCGCCAAGTCTCGCTGCAAATCGTTATTAGTTATTTTCACTCTTTTCTGTGATAATTTTGCTTCTTTAAGCATCACACCTCATGGACCTCATCTTCTCTTGCAGGTGCTTGAGTTTGACCTAAAGGGCATTCCACTGGACTCCAGCTCCTACATAGATGTGATTGTGAAAGACTATGAAACCATCGGGAAGGACAAGTAAGTGCAAGACGGCCCCCGAGACTGAGCTCGCTGTTAGCTTTGGTTTGTGCTTTGTGCAACAGACGGATCACGGTGATGAAAGAGAAGCCAAATGCCTCACCTTTCCTGAATCACAGCGTAAACTCGGTCGTGTCTGAACGAAGAGGTTGAGGGAAGTACGTTTGTTCAGTCAGGCAGAACGTTAGCCAACAGTAGCCGATGTGTCTCTTTGTCTTCTTCAGTTGCACGAATGCCAGTTTCCTTAACTAATAATTCAGCTCAGGTTGGTGCAGTGGAAGCTGTTATTCAGTCAGGGTGAATCTGAAGTCCTTTTGAAGTACCTTAGCTACTAAATAATCATTTGTACATGCCGCCGGCTGCTACCTGGTGCTTTCGACACCAAATCGACAGTGACACACTGCTATACAAGGAAATGAGTTAGATATTTTCATAGTGACCCAGTGTTTTGCTTGTGTTACTGGCTGTCTCTTCCCCCTCACACCCTGCTTGCCATGCTGAGACATGCTGGGCTGTGTGGGATGACGGATCCTGATTGGGCAACAATGGATGGATGAATTGCTGTTTTGTCTTCGGTCTCTCTTTGTGGAATTTATGCAGCGTTGTGTGACAAAACACAGGGAAAAGTTTGAAAAGAAATGTTGAGTAATGGTAGTAGACGTATGACATACTCTGACACTGTGTGAGGAGATGTGTGGAGGGTAGCTATGCAGCTTTAAAACTACCAAATAAAACCAGAGTCACATATGGGACCAATCTGGACCAACCGCAAAGAATGTTTCCTAGACATCACTAATTACTGCGATCAAAGTCTTGTCTGTTGCAAGTAAACACATCACATTAAAGCCGTTGTTTCTTATGAAACAAGTCAAACTGCAGTGTAAATGCATTTTCTGTGCATGTGCTTTACGCAGGAAAAGTTTCCGTTGTGCAGGGGACAGTCATAACTGAGGGAGGAGCTTTTCAAATGAGCCTCTCCAGCACATGAGAGCATGCTAGTAAAGTTTTCCACTGGGCTGGCCAGTCTGACACACTCCCCAAAGATCTACCGAGTAGGAGCAGAGGAGGACTTCTCTCTCTCAAATAGTTTCCCAGATGCTATGTTGTGGGTAATCCCTGTCGTCGTGGCAACAGGAAGGAAGAAGCAAATCAGTGCCCTTTTAACTAATTGTAATTTTTAGAAAGGAATCAGAAAGCTGTAGGACTAAGTCTCCCACTAGGCCGTACAGTAAATAGCAGCTCCATCTCCAGGAAATTTGACACTCAAATTTCTGCCTTTAAATGTAATCCTAAGCAAATATCTCATTTTCCTAGACCTGTTCCTTGAATGGGACATCATGATGTTGTGATTTCTATCGACTGCTTTTAAAGTATTTTAGGTCATGTCTGAATCCGAGCATACTAGCATGCATTAGTTTGCACTAATCACCAAGAACAGCTGAAGCTTTCTTCACCTGAGGATGGCATTAGAGGAAAAGGTCGAGTGATCATCAACGTCATTAGGATTCAGCATCTGGGAGCCATGAACATCTGTACCAAATCTGATGACAATCCAGCTAAAACAAAGCATTTCATTCAAGGGCCAACTCATAGAGGACATGATTTGTGACGATCTATTTCATGAATGTTGAGATATTTCACTGAATGAGTTAAAACTTTGACCTACTAGTGGTGCAATAGAGCAAAACTCAGAGGATTATAGATTAAATATCTTAAATATCTGACAACAACAGTCCTTCCAACAGTTGAGAGAGAATTCTCACTTAAAGAATAGAAATCTAAGGGAGAATTTTGTAACACCAAAGATAATGGTTGCATGACACATGTCCTGCACCGACTCCCACACAACGCCAATCGTCTGCTTTCTCACAACTGAACTGGAATTTTTCAGATAATTGTGTTGTCACAGTGATTCAAGTGCAATGTTGTGAAACTGTGTACATCCATTATCTATACACCGCCTAATCCTCACTAGGGTCGCCCAGCTGTGTACATGCATAGTAGAAGTGTAACCTGTGGGAATAATGGTTTTTAAACCTAATCTTGGTGCAAAGTCACCAAACCTGTAAACTTTTTAAAAATCCAATTTGACTCATAATTCTAAACATGATGTTTTATTTTATTTTATTTTATTTTATTTTACATTTGATGACTTCCCTATTCAATTAGACAGAGGTCTGGGTCTTTTTAATGCAAAAGAACTGCCCAGTGGTGTAACTAAGATGACTGGGGAGTAGTGAGACTTGCCCATATTGCTTTTGCTCGAAGCTACAAATGTGAACCCCATGGTGGCCCTACATGAAAAGTCAGGAGGTCACCGAAGTCAGCATCCTCTGGAAACCATTAATAATGTCATGGTAATCCATCCAGCTGTTGTTGAGATATTTCTGTGGTTAGATACGAATGGACAGACCAACGGCCATAAAGCTGCACCGTTATCATGGCTAAAGATTAATACAGTCCAGTCAAACATATCAGAACAGGCAATTTAGTAAAAGGAGTTCATGGTTAATAATCAACCTTTGTGGAACTTATTTGAAACCCTGCGGTCAAGTTAAGTGTTATCCTTGCACCTGCTTTGCATCCTTCTGTTAAAAAGCTTTTCTTTCTCATTTAAGTTAAAGTGAATTTAACTATTAAACTATAATCTTTGACATATCATTGAATGGATGATGACACTAAAATACTAATAAAATGACTACTTTTTACATTTTTACTGTGTAGTTGAAGGCTGAAATGTTACACAAATGCACGATAGGACATGGCAAGAACATTTTCTTCACCTTAAATCCTCAGAGTACTGCTTAATTTCCTCTGTCTTATTGTAAACAGAAATCAGTTGGCCTTGCACAGATATTTTCACTTACTTTGGACTTGTTTATAAAAAAAAATATTTCGGGACTTTGCAGTATCGTAACTGTTTGATTGCTGGTTTTCACACCCTTGTCCCAAATCTGAGATGGGCTGTAGTATGTCAACGCTGGAATGACCACACTCATCCAGCTATGCGAAAGGAAATGAATGCTGACAGAGGGAGGGTGTTACTTTTTGAACTGAAAACCAGCCAAGGACACTCACAGCTGTTTGTGTTGTTGAGATTTACAGTTGGCTGATTATCACTGCTGAGATACATGAGAGCTTCGTCATACCAGGAGATGTGGAAAATGCCAAAAATATGAAATGTGTATGTACATGTGTGACTAAAAGTCTGGTGATAACGAGCACCGATGTCAGTTGTTCCACTGGTCGTATAATTGTTTAACATCCCAACAAAGGGGAACACTTTGCATCCAATATTAACCCTGTGGGAGGGATTTCACCCCGCATGTGGGTGGCGATATTTTGAACATGAGTGATATTTGTCTCTCTATGACTCACCAGAACTTGACAACGGTCACAAAGTCTGTTTTGGCCTCTCTGTTTATATGGGAAGTTGTCAGTCCAAGTGAGTCTTCCCTGAAATGTTCACAACATACACGCTGCAAGAATGTGATCATTTTGTTATGGTTGGATGCCATTTTAAAATACCGCATGACTTATTATATTTTAATATTTGACAGCTCTTATCAGAGTGCAGTCAAGCCTGAAAACAGATGCAAAATATATAAAATACCCCAGAATCCAGGGACAGTCCAACATCTCTCCTGAATGCCCCTTTCTGGTTTTGTAGACAGAAGATTTTGACATAGCTGAGCAATGAATAATCCACAGATGCTTCCTACCTAAAGCCCCTTTTTGATAAAGTCCAAATCCTGTTCACTTTATTACTCAGATTCCATTGCCATTGTTGGGTACCTGGTCTTATTTGAGGCCACATACCAGTTTTATAGAGTCACTGAATCTGTGGGGAATTCCTGTGACAGCCCCTTTCCTGACGCAGAGTGCTGCCAAACCAACAACACTCTGTCCAGCTGTTTGTGTAGCGTCCTTAAGTATTAGCAACCTCATCTGCAGCTGTTTATGAATCTGTAAAAGTCATGTTTCTATTGTACAATGAATGTAGTTAGTTTACTTTGCTCTATTATTTTGGAGTAAAATGCAACTATAGTATATTTATAATACTGTAATAATCTGCTTAGTACCAAATCCTTATAACAGCATTGTTATCATGTCTAATAATTCTTTAATCTATGCTTCTATTAGTTTGTCACTGGAGTTTTTGCCTTTCCTCCTTATTTTATCCAGGTGAAATTATTGAAAAAGGTTATTTTAAAAATGTGGATCCAGTTTAAAGCTTAAATTTCTGAACCTTCGTTGTCAGATTGAAGGTCTGTAGGGAGTATGTGATTCTATTTTGCAAAAAATTCCTCCTATCAGGAATGCAGCCAAAAATAATATTACTCAGTCCACCCAAGAAAGATATGATTTACATGAAAGTATTCTTTTACACAATACAACCGACTTCATTTCACCCAGCCAAACACAGACGAGTTCAAATATTTCGGCCTTTTAAGGATTTCGTTGCAACTTTTGAAGATTTTTCAGTTATTTTTTTTTGTTCTTCTCAGAGCTAATAGTGTGTTGTTGCTTTTACATTGTTGGAGCGTAAACAAGCTGCACTTCAAGAGCTGTGAGGTTTCTGGCTGCACTCAATGTACTCTGCAATCCAATACAAGCAATAATAAATTGCCACGAGGCAGTTTTAAACTGACGCTGTAGGCAAAGACCAATAAAGATCCAGTTGTGCGGGATTGTAACAAAGTGAAGCAGAGCATTGTCATTTGGGCACATCCCACACAGTCATATGTTATCCCACACATTGCTTCTTGTGGTGGTTTTTCCCCCTTCATATACAAAAAAAAGGAGTTAACTGAGAAATGTAATTGGGATTTTCCATCTGGTTCTTAATCACATTGAATGGTTACTTCACCATCTCACAGGAAATGTTGTAATTAACATTCCTCTCAGAAAATGATTGACTCATTCACAGAAGCAACAAACCTGCTTTCATTTACCTCGTGTGTGATACAGTGAGTTTTATTATCAGGATGTTCCAGGTGACAGTGATGCAGATTTGTTCAGGTGACTGTGTTTATCATTTTCAGGTTTGCAGTGTTGTTTTTTTGATGTCTTTGGAAAACAGTATACAACCTTCTCCATGCAGGAAGTCAGCGGCGATCAAAACAGACTGTAAATCAGAGGCTGATGGTTTCTGTGTGATGTTGAGTGTGCGCTTGCTCATGGGGTGCGTTTGTTTGTCTGAGCAGGGAGGGTTTTGTTAGCTCTGGGTGGTGACCTTCTCTATGCCCCTTTTGTGAATGTGGCTGTACTGAGCACACATACATTTCACTACTGTGTGGTCGGTAACCTGATTACCAATATGTTGGCTGACTAGAACGGTAGTAACAGTAAATTCATCACCAGGCAACCTAGTTGAGTGTGTATATAGTCGTCCACACATTTATAATTAAAAGAGTTGTGATTGCGGTAGTATGATGGAAAAACTGCTGTTTTCCTTGAGAATTTATCCAGTGAGTCCTGAGATAATAAGTCATGAAATAAAGAGACTGGAGTAAATAAACTGCCTTTTGAGTATTTGATTCTTTGTGCAGAAAAGATTAATTGTCATACGGTCTGCACAGGAGGAACAAAACATGAGTACGTGCTGAATTGCAAGCTAGTGGTAGGAGGTGAGCGTAGGGGAGCTAAGAACTTAGGGTCTGAGGTCAGATGATTGCAGTTCCTAGAACTCGTGAAACATTGTGGTAGTCTGTTGCTTGCGTGTGCGCTTCCTCTTGACACCAGAGAAGGGGGGGTGGGTCAGTTAGGTTCAAACATCATGCACAGGTAGAACCTCAGTGTCAGTGGTTAAATACTAGTACGGTGAAAAATTACTGTTACAGTAGTCAGTCCCCAGACTTTGGAGATCCTTTGATACGAACAGAATTGTCATTGATGGAGCCTAAACATAGTAGGAAGTCCTAACTTCTCCTGTGCTGTGTCGGCCCACTGCGCTTCTGTGCCTAACTCACCTCAGAAAATAGTAGTTACTGTTTCACTATGTGCTTTTCTGTGGTTGATATGAAGGGAAATGCAACCGTCCGTGTGGCAAACCAGCACGGCCCAATTAGAAAGCATGAACTGGCCATTAGAGTTACATTGAAAAGGGAAATGAATGGTCATTTATCACTTTTGCAGCAAGTATTTCACAAATTAGTTAGCAACTAACCATGAACACAAAGACTGACTCCGCACCACCATCTGCTCAGCTGTGATGTGTACTCTGCTACATGTGCTGCAAACAGTGCTGAAAATGGAGTTGGATCTGCTCTGATGGACATACTATGTGATGACATTGTTTTTAAAAGCATCTCTTTCATGTTCATGCTTTGTAAAAGAAAGTTTTCATGGTGGCACAAAATACTCTGATACAGATAATATGTGTCAGGCCAATATCAATAAACAATACTGGCTAGCCAACACATCAGTTTGGCTCTACAATGGATAAAAACTTATTTCTGTATGTGTTTTTCTTAACAGATTCCTTGGATCAACCAAAATCCCTTTGAGAGACCTTGCTGCAGGTCAAGTGAGATCACTGCCATCCAAAAATGTTCCTTTGGTCAATGAAAGTGGACAGAACATTGGAGTGAGTTTCATTCTGTCAGATTATATTTAAAAACTAAAGCCAAAAAAATGATGGTATCTTCTTTAAAAAAAAAAAAAAAAAAGAAAGAATAATTGACCATCTAATCATGTTCTTCCAGGCTACAATCAACCTTGTGATTGGCTATGATCCTCCACCCAATGCTGCACCAAACCCCAATGACCCTGATGCTGGAGATGCTGCAGTGGATGCTGGTATGTTATTGTAATTCATAATAATGCAGAAACCTTGGTTTACTGGTGGAATTAATTCGACTAGAGGCGTACCAGGTGTTCGACCTGTGATCATCTTGTCTTTCTGGCGTTTAGGAGATGGCGGTGATGGTGGTGAGGAAGGCATTGAGACTCAACCAGACGGAGGTCAAAGTGGCGCTGCAGGCGTCTCCTCAGCCGCTGGTCAGTCCGTTAGCCTTCGAAGGAGGGTGGCCCGGGCACAGAATCGCCACCGACTTGTTAACAAGCCTCAGGACTTCCAGGTCAGTTTGTTTTCGCACTAGTGCCACATAAATGATTATCACTAGCTACTGCTAATTTGCATTGTACAGGTTGAGAACAGAACGTGTCTATGTTTAGATGAAAATAAAACACTTAAGCAGCATGTGCTTGATTTGATTTGTGATTGTGGAATCTTTAAAATGATGCTGATGGAGCAGTTCTGGTGAAAAATAGTGCAGTCTGTGTTGCTTCACACCATGATCATGGGGCGAGGGAGTAGAATGATTATAGTTGAGGATATGAAGATCGTAAGTAAATGTGAGCTCCATTCAGGAGATTTATGTCATGCATGTTACTTTTGAAGGTATGCTTTCACTCTTTGTAATCCTTTGGTATGCTTGGTCTGGATGTTGTTTTTCTTTTCAATGTTTTTTTTAAAATTTGGTTTTAAAAACTTGGGTAAGTTTTGTTATAACTTTGTTAGCTGGGATTAAGGGAACACACATTAGACAAAGAACGATTTTCTACTTAAGAATTTATAATTAATTGCAGTTTAGATTCAGATGACAACAACAGTTATTTCTTGCGTGGTTAGATTTCCTCTGGTTATGTGTCTCTTAATCTACATGTAAATAAATTGAGGTGCTCTTGGTCAGGACCAGATACTCTCATACATCAATGAATTATACATATTTGTCCACAGTCATTTTGTAATGCTGTGTGTTTTTCAGATTCGTGTCCGGATCATCGAGGCCCGTCAGTTGTCGGGCAACAACATCAAACCAGTAGTGAAGGTTAATGTGTGCGGACAGACCCACAGGACAAGGATCAAGAGGGGAAACAACCCCTTCTTTGATGAGGTACTATCACTTTACTGTCTCAGTGAGAATACAGACAACACAGATTTGTTATTTTTTAATTCTGTCTGCCTCACAATTCAACCAGGTGAGATTCTGCTTGAATGTAAGATGTTTTCTTTTTGTCTGCCTTTATTTCAACTATGAATTCTTTTTTGCATTTTTGCAGATGCTCTTCTACAATGTCCACATGCTACCATCAGATCTGTTTGATCAGAACATTAGTATCCGGGTGAGTAGACGTGCATGTAAATGTTGAGGTATTCACTCTGTGTATACTCTATGTAAACTATCGCCGTCCTCTCTGCAGGTGTATGATTCCTATTCACTGAGGGCTGACAGTCTCATGGGAGAATTCGAGGTACCACATCTAATCTCCTTCACACAAAACTCTTAATATGTAACTAAAGAAAAGTGTGTTCACATGAGCCTGACTCCTCTCTCCTTGTTCTCTCTCCCAGCTGGACGTTGGTTATGTTTATGATGAACCAGGTAGGAGCTTCACAAACCACAGATTTGATGATCATTTACTTTTGCTCCTCGGATGCTTTTGTTAGGCTTGTTAAGATTAACTGTTATAAGTTATTAGTCCTCTGTTTGTGGGTTGTAGTTGATTACCAGTGGGTCACATGATGCTGTTGTGATCATAACCTACATGGTCCTATCAGCTCTATGGAGCTTTAGAGTGGCATTTTCCACTCGTTGCTTTGTGTTTCCAACCTGACGCTTTACTATGTTGGTTCACTTTTCCGCAGCTGTTATCAGTGAAAAAGCTCTAAAACAGTTGTCCTTTAGCAAAATGGACAGACAAAGATAGCGTCCAACATGTGAAAACAGTGGAGCATTTAGCCACAGATTTTCCTCAGGAGCTGGTGGAGACCAAAACAAAGCTAAAAAAAAAGAGAGTAAATATTGGGCTTTACCAGAGGGGTCTATGATAAAACGAGCTTATTGTGTAAGCGACGTATGTTGATCCTAAAATCAGAGTTTTCAGTGTTGAAGGTGGCTCTCTTTTAACCTGATAGATCACTATGGTAACCGATGCTGCTCAGCTACCCTGCTCACGAGGAGGTTGTGTTCAGAGTTTGGGATTTAAATTGGCTGTAAAAAGCATCTCTCTTTCACCAATTCTTCTCCTGATGATGATTCTCTGTGAGTGATGCAGATTCTCAGCTGATGGGTTACATTATACCTGCAAACCTGTTGAGCTGTATTTTAGTTATCCCACCGAACAAAGCTGAACAGTTACAGCAAGGAAACTGTGTGCGCTATGTTGCCTGGAACACCTACGTGTGTGCAGTTGATGATGCAGTGTAGTCTGTCCTGATCAGCTGGTATCACAGCTAATAGAACACAGATTAAAAAAGGTTGATATTTATCACAGAGAATATCACAACAGCGCTTCTTGCTGTACACACTTTTAAATGTTTTTCATAGCTCTCTATTATAACAGATTTTTCCTTTTCACAAAAGTAGGAAGGATGTGAACTGGAGAATAAAATAAACCTGTTAAAATATACTGTGGTACCTGTTATCTCTGATTGGGCATTTAGGTTTTGTCAAGCCAGCTAACACACATAAAGTCTGGCTATGTCAAACCTGCCACCAGTACACCCCCCTAGTAACCAGTAACACAACTGCACATTAATGTGTATGTTGCTCTGTATGTTCTGGATGATCAATAAAAATAAAACAATTGTTAGCATGTCCTAACAAACCTTGTGGCAATATATTAATGCTGTGTTCACAACCTGATGCCGCTGCCTATAAATGGCCAAAAATCCTCATTTGCAGCTTAAAAAGTTTGATTATTTAAAGTATCCACAAATAAAACAAACAGTTAGCTCAGCCAATCTGACAAAATGTAGTTTTGTTTTTAATTTTCACTTGGTCACAAAGTGCTTTTCATGTCCCCTTTCATTCAACCTGCTGTCTGTGTTAGTGAAGTCTGTAAGGACTTTATAAGTGTGTGGTTCTGTTGCAGCCCACTGTGTGATGAGGAAGTGGCTCCTGTTGAATGACCCAGATGACGCCAGCTCTGGAGCTAAAGGCTACCTGAAAGTCAGCCTCTTCGTGGTGGGGATTGGAGATGAACCTCCGGTATGACCGACTTCAACAGCTCTCAGATAGCTTTTACTTCCCCCTGGTTGATTCCTCGTTCCTCATGTAAATGTGCTAATTTTGCCAGTCGCTTTCTCTCATGGACTGTTTTCTATTCGCTATGTTCTCACACTATAAAGGCGGAGAAGAGGGAGTCTAATGACGACCAGGACGACATAGAGAGTAACCTGCTGCTGCCGGCAGGCGTGACTCTGCGATGGGCCACTCTGTCACTGAAGGTGTTCAGAGCTGAGGACGTTCCCCAAAGTAAGACAAGCTTCAGATCAGAAATTATTTTAAAAAATCTTAGTTTGTGCACAAAAAAACACTACATTTAGTTTATTGTTTCCTAATTCATGGCTGTCAAAACTGATAAAACGCAACTAAGACAGCACACTTTATCATTTTAACCATTTATTTCGGAATGACATGCTTTTGTTTTGGCGGCGACTCTCTTCGAGTGATCACAAACCCCCCGGTAGACCCTGAGATCTACAATGTGTAAATAAACACAGCATGAACACAAAAACAAGGAGATCAACTTCAATGGTCTTCGTTTTGCAAAATCTAGTTTACATAGTTTTAAAGGCACAATTATGGACCATCTGTGTTCTACATTCACGAAAAATATGAGAAACAACCAGAGTTATGATACTGAATCTCTAAAAAGGAGGAGGTTGGGATGGAGAGGGAGATTTGCAGATCTATAGATGCTGGTGTAGCAGCGATGTGGTGAGCGTGGAGCGGGCAGAATGAATTAATGAACACTGCCTCAGTTACAAAGCACGCTAAGTGGGTGGGCTGGACTGAAGTCGGGGATGACTGGACAGAAAAGGGGTCTTGTGACGCCCTGACTCCTGTCTGAACCAACACAACAACTCAAGAGAATGCGATGTTAAATAGAAAGTGATTAACTATTTCTTCCGTCTCATTTCAGTGGATGATGCTTTTGTCCAGAGCATGAAAGAGTTTTTTGGAGGAAGTCAAAACAAGAAGAACCTGGTGGATCCCTTTTTAGAGGCTCGCTTTGCTGGCAAAAAGGTTCCTGATCATTTATCTATTAATATTACTTTTTGCTTACGTAAGCAAACTGGTTACTATATTGCTGACCTACAGAAGAAAATCTGATGTGAGTTTTCTCTGTGTCTCCAGCTGTGCAGTCAGGTCGTTGAGAAAAATGCAAACCCTGAGTGGAACCAAGTCCTGAACCTTCAAGTCAAGGTTAGCAGTCCTGAGGATGAAAATCTGTAAAGAACAAAGTGACAGAAATCATCTATTACATATTTTATTTTTCATTTTGTTTAACTAGTTTCTTGTATTTCCTGTAGTTCCCTTCCATGTGTGAGCGCGTCAAACTGACAGTGTTTGATTGGTAAGTCCAGCAAGATCACAGTTTAAGCCTAAGAGACTCTAGTCAGTTTCATTTTACAGTATGTCTAAGGAAGAATGCTAAGAGGCGGTGCTGTTTTGTTCTGTTGGAGCCGCTCGGATTGAGAAAGTGTACCACAGTGTTTCCGCAGTGTGGTCAGCTGTATTCTATTTGTATATGTTCGTGTGTGTGTGTTTGCGTGTGTGTGTGTGTGTGTGTCCATGCCCCGACATCAGCCTCACGAGAATAATGCAGCACAGTGTGACTCAGACCAAGCAGGCCCCTCCCTTTCCCACAATAACAGGCCCTGTTGGCACCGTCTCGCTGCTAATTTTCATCATTGTGTGTTTCTAAGCGAATGAACTCAGATAAGTGAGGTCCAGGAAGGCTGGAGGGAAATATGTACAGGAGGGAAAGGTTGGAAAAGTGGTGTGTAGCTCAGAAGGTGTTGAAAACACACTCAAATCCAAGGACCGAAGGAAAAAGGAAAACATTTACACTGAAAACAACAAGATGGAGATACTGTTTTTCCATCCATTCCTTGATGAGATAGTGAGCAGAGCCTAACAGTGCACTGACTTTGTGATATTTGCATGTTATTTAACAGTCGCGTGTGTGCAGTGGGAGTCTAAAGTTATGTATGATTTGCAGGGATCGTTTGACAGGAAACGATGCTATTGGCACCACATACCTGAACCTTTCCAAGATAGCTTCCTCTGGCGGAGAGATAGAAGGTATTTTTAAAAATTTATTATTTAAGAAAATATGAGTCGAAAAAAAAATTGACCCTGAAATAAAATGCATAACAAGTTTTTATGAAAACTACAGCAGAAGTTTAGAGCAGTTTCATCAAGACATAAGATGCTAATTGTTGTATTACTGTGTGAAAAACACATTATTCTGATATGGGCCTGTTAATACTGACTTCCTAATGGTGTTCGACTTGTTCTTTTTTCTCCTGGAATAGAGGAACATGCGGGAAATGGGGAAATGGCATCATATGAAGGTTCACCTGTGCTCTTTTTTGCTCTGTGTTGCATGAGATGTAACGCATTAGGCATGCTAAGACGCTGAATATGTTTGTTTGTGCTGATACAACTGTGCTTTGCCCTGTTTTAACATTGAGATCTAAATGTTCCACTCGCGCCGTGTTGTTGTCTCTCTCACCTGCTTTCCCAGCCGTCACTGTCTCCACCCAGTATGTCGAACTGAGCCACACTGACTTACTAACATCAAAGCTTTGCTTAGCTTTGCTTGTGTGCATTCATGAGGAGATTAAGTCTGTTGTCATCTCCTTTCAGCTAACTCAGGGCAGTCCGAGGTGGGTTTCTTGCCTGTGTTTGGACCGTGCTATGTCAACCTGTACGGGAGTCCCAGAGAGTTCAGCGGCCTGCCGGACCCGTATGAAGATCTGAACTATGGCAAGGTAGTGGTGTGAACATGTTAAGTCCTATGTTTTATTCTTTCATTAGGGCTGTCCCGATCAGGTTGATTTGCCCCCAATCCCATCAAAATCATTTACTATCTGCTGACACTACTGCCAGTCCAATACCATTTTCCCTGATAATACACACTTAGTACATAATCAATCCAGTGTATCTGACAACTGAATAGCTTTGCAATCCATAAAAAACTGCATTTTTCCAAGTTGTTCCTTCAAGTCGTGTAGGTGATCATAAACCTTCTTGTAAAGCTCAGGCAGGGCATTACTTAAAATGTAATATCGAGAGGGGAGGATGTATTGTGGCTCCACGAGCACGAACACAAAATGACGTTCCTGTACAATTAGCCTGCATTCTCAATTACATTTTGAAGGAAAAGGAATTTTATTTTGAAATTACTGTAAGTTGTGACCTGTGGTAAAGGTGGCCAGTCTGAAAAAAATATTTTTCACTCACTTTTTGGTTAGGTTTAGGCACAACAAGTATGTTTTTTAGTTTAGGAAAAGGTTTTGTTAGACACTTTCACATGTTAGAAGTTCATTTAAGGTGAGACACAAAAATTACTTTGTTAAGCTTTTGTAAAAATGGCATAGTGTGGGATAAGATTCAGCCCTTACCCTACATGTTTTATGCGTCTCCTCTGTTTTCTGGGTTACCAAGGTGACACATCCCACCCCATCTAATATATGATTGGTTGCCTGAAAAATAGCAAAAAGGAGCAACAGTGAAACAGTGAAATACATGGCACAGACATGTTGATCATGTAACCAGGCAGAAAATACCTTTCATCCAAGCTTATATGAGAATGCAGTTTAGTTGTATAATTTTGTGGAGACTGGGTTCGATAAAAACTTGTATTCTCTACATGTATGTGAAGTGTATTGTAGAGTACCTGTAGTACCTGGTTCCTCCTCCTGCTAAGTGTTTATGCTGTAATGACACAAAGAGGCGATCCCTCGGGCTATGGGCAGGTCCATGTTGGCAAACAGAGAGGATTGTGGGGATTTAGTTAGCGAGAGCTAAACTGTATCAGACAATTATTGTATCCCAGTGGCAAATGTAACAGCGTTACCTTTGTCGCTCATGTCATGTGACTCTTGTCTGAAACAGGAAACAAACATCTACTGAGCATAAATTGTGCTATCACTTAGGAATTTCGACTGACAATACTGCAGATTACTGATTAAGGAAATTATGGAAAATTTGCATCCCTAATGTCCTGCCATAAATTGAGCTCCACTTTATAACACCTATGTGACAGTGGATATAAACGATGGATGGCACTTAGGTTTGGACTAGTACTGATTACTAAAGAAACTGCCTTGATCTGCTCCAATCCTGATCGCTGAGACTAGATGGGGACATTCCTATTTTTTAGTATCTTATAAGTCACCATTAATTTCAGATTTTCTCTTCTCTCTCTCCTTTGTTTGCTCTTTGTGGTGTGATATCAATATTTTCTCTTTGTGAAGGGAGAAGGAGTGGCGTACAGGGGCAGGATTCTGGTGGAGCTGTCCACCAAGCTAGAGGGGAAAGCAGACAAAACAGTAGACAACATCCACAGTGATGACATCCTGGTGGCACAGGTAATGTGACTGTTTGTCCGCTGAGTTGTACCTCTCACATGTGTGATCCCAAGATTTGGGACATTTGATGACTGGATATGATGAGCTTTAAAAGTCTGTCCATAGAGTGAAACCAAGTCTTAATGCATTCAAAATACTTTCTGTGTGCTGTCCTAAATCAGAAATACCAGCGGAGGAGAAAGTACTGTCTGTGTGCAGTTTTCCACAGCGCCACCATGATTCAGGAACCGGGAGAACCAATCCAGTTCGAGGTCAGCATTGGTAACTATGGCAACAAACTGGACACCACCTGCAAACCGCTGGCCTCCACCACTCAGTACAGCTGTGCTGTGTTTGATGGTGAGTGATGAAATCAGCTTTGAAGAATGAGTACATTAATGTGTAATCTGTTCACTTTACAGGCGGTTTTCTTGAAAAGATTATTTTAATTTGGTGCGTCATTTTTCCAGGTAACCACTATTACTACCTGCCCTGGGCAAACACTAAACCAGTGGTTGTAGTTACCTCATACTGGGAGGACATCAGCCACCGCCTGGACACCGTCAACATTATCCTCTACATTACTCACCGCCTGGTAATGCTGAACTGTCACCTGTAATCCTTAAAAACCTACAATTATTGCTGCCATTTAAATCACAGTTTTGGATTTATGGCCTGTAGGTTTGCATGAGCACTGTATTATACTAATCTGTGGTACATGCGCGCCACTATGAGAGTCAGTCATAGAGGTTTAAGATGGAAACATAATCCTCACCCTTATTTTGTTGTTGTTGCAGCAATCCAACCTGGAGGCATTTAAAACTGCCATATTGGCTAAAGTCTCCGACAACAAACTTGTAGAGGTGTGGCTGAAGTTGCTCAATCAGCTAATTGAAGACCTGGAGAGGTAAACAGAGGATGTGGTGTTGCTGAGAAATGTAGCAGGAGAATGTATGTTTTCTATGCTTTTTTTTATGAAGTAGTAAAAATAAGATGAATCCAAAAGAGTTAGACATAAAGGAAGGAAAAGGTTTCATCAAAGCAAACAAATTACTATACATTGTGAGATAATAAAGACTTAATAGCTTACTGGCTAATTATTTTAGATAATCTAACTGTATGTCTTGTTTTGCCTAATCTGAACTTGTCTACTAGCTTCCCAACACCTGAGCTGGAGGGCCGCTCTAACCTGACGTCTCTGGACATCCAAATCAAGAAGCTAAGAGACAGCGCTTTGACCACCATGAGGGACGGAGCCAGACGCATGAGAGAGGAGGCCGCAGAGATCCGCGACACTCTGTCAGACTTAGAGTCCTGGGCTGACAAACTCAAACAGCTGGCTGAGGAGGTACAAACACAGAAAGAAAGAAAATCTTCACAATTTAAACATCTTTAGATTTATTTTGATTTTTTTTTATGTGAATAGAGATATTAGTCCTAACTCCTGAACATTCACCCCCTTTTATACTAAAACTGTTCTGTTTATTGGACTCTTATGGTAAAAATTTGTGTGCAACAAATAAGGAATCAGTAAACGTGAAACTATAGATGTCAGACAATCTAAGAAACTACTGTTTTGATGTGTAATCAACTCAGGGATTATTGCATGTTGCATCATTGGTATCTACAGTGGTTTACATGTTTGACTCGTGTGACTTTTTACTTTCAAATGATGATTCAGAAAGGGTTGATGTCATTCAAAATACAGCAGCAGAGTTCAAACCAAAATTGAAGTAGGCAGCAACAAAGAAGAAGCTCTATAAAAAAAAAAAAAGACACCAGAATTTGAAAGTATAGCTGTCATCCTGCAGCCCCCACCCCCTTTTTTTTTCTTAAGCACTTCTCACCAGACCAGTCCTTGCATAACCCTGTGCTTCATATGCACGTGTTGCACAAGCTTGATTATAACATGAAATCAGATTAGCCACAGCTGGAGCAGGTGCAAGGTGATTGTTGGTTAGCACCTTCGCCTCGCAGCTAGAAGGTCTAACCCTAACCCTCTTTGCAGCATTCAGCTTAACCACTTGTCACCAATTTGTATCATAGATCTACATATGTGACCACAACAGCTATAGATATAGAAGAATGATGTAGCAGCTTGCATGTCTAGTTACTCGTAGTTACTGTCATATGAGTACACTTTGCTGATATGGACATGTTTTAGTGTGTTTATTGTCAGACTGGCTTTCAGACCCTCTTTTCTGTCCATCTTCCTATTTTGGGGAATTGCTTTGCAGTGTAGGCAGTTATTCCTGCATAATTTTCTGCCATTGACTGAGGCTTCTGATCAGGACTTTTACACGTATCTGCATTTGTAGAACAGTCAGTACACCCTCTCTATGGAAAGACCTGGAATTGGAAAGTCTCCCATCATGGGCTAGATTTTATGAAGCCTGAGAACAAAGCCCAGAGGACATGCAGAAGTCTAGTTTCCTCTCACACCATTTGAAATACACTACCCTACAAGGCTAGTATGGATTTTCTGCCAAATGACACCAAAAAATTGCTTCCCACTCAATCTTTAACCCTATTCAGGACTTTCATGTTGCCATAAGTAGAAGGTCTTTCGGGACCCCAAGAAAGAACATGTGCAAAATATCTGTTGGTCTTCATTATAGACTTTTATACCATGTTAATATTTTCTAATAAGCTGATGTATTTTTGGTACCAAATGCATAAAAAATGTCCCTCATTTTGTATTTTAAAAAAATCTTCAAAAATACAAAACAGCAACTGTCACCTAAACCAAATGGGCTGGGGTCCAACAGTCCTGAATAGGGTTAAGGGGTTAATATCATGCATTCAGAATTACATTTTGTAATTCACTCTTGCACACTACCTCAGACAAAATTTGGCCAGAAAGAGTGAATAACACTTCAAAACCATGCAGAACCTTCGTCATAATTAAAGTAAAATGTGTTCATTATTGCCTAATGCACCGTGTAACGCTGCGTAACTTCACGTGGTTTCCTTCTTAATGCGTGCAGCCCCAGAACAGCATGCCTGACGTGATCATCTGGATGCTACGTGGTGAGAAGAGGGTTGCCTACAGCCGTATCCCAGCTCACCAAGTCCTCTACTCTACATACAGCGAACAGGCCTGTGGTCAGCACTGTGGCAAGACACAGACTGTGTTTTTACAGGTACACAACAATTGTCAGAAAAAGGAAAGGTTCTAATGCAACTTATTCATGGATTACATTGAGTCATTTAGGAAATCAGCTGCATTAGATTTTATCCAAACAGCTTGTGGCTGAATCATAATGGTCATGAGACTTGTTGTTTTCTGATCCCTGCAGTACCCCATGGACAAGGCCAAGGGCTTGAAGGTGCCAGTTCAGATTAGAGTCAACATGTGGCTGGGTCTGTCTGCGCATGAGAAGAAATTCAACTCCTATTCTGAGGGAACCTTCAGCGTGTTTGCTGAGCTGGTAAAGCAAAGTATTCACTTATTCTTCTGTATTCACAAAGCATAGCAAGAAATGTTTAGGTTTTGTCAATATCACAAGTGTTTTAAACCTTATAAGTAGGTGTTTTTCTTACAATGGTTGATGTTGTAAATGTACTTTTGAGTCATTTATATCAACTGTTAAACCAGTACCTTAAAGAAAACACGTCCTCCTTTACAGTATGAAAACCAGGCTAAGGTATTTGGGAAGTGGGGAACCACAGGACTGGTTGGACGCCATAAATTCTCAGACGTAACAGGCAAACTGAAGCTGAAACAGGAGTACTTCATGCCACCCAGAGGATGGGAGTGGGAGGGTGACTGGTACATAGATCCAGAGAAAGCGTGAGTATAACTGAGATACAAACATTTTGTGAAGAAGACAAACTTTAACATTTTTTGTTGTAGGATTCACTTAAGTCTTATGAGAAAGTTTGTCTAAACTACATGGAAATTGCGCTGCTGATTGTATCAGCTAAGATGTTTTTTTCTCCCACTGAACACCCATGTATGGAGTGGAGAGGAAGTGGACTGGATCTGCTCTGTACTGTTTACATTCCTCTCATGCAATAGACCCTCATTTACTGTCAAAGGTACCAGACTGTACCAGTGAGCTGGAAGCTATTTTACATTTTCATATTTCGTCTGTTCTGTCCACTCCAGAACAACCATTCTGTGCATTCCAAATCTGAACATAGAATTATTTGGTTTTCCATGCTAACATCTTTTTATCTGTCAAGCAGTAATTGCTGAACAGTATGACTGTTTTGTGCAGGTACGAGACAAAATAAAGGAAACTGAACAAAGTGGAGAAGAGTATTAAATACAGGTTGTTTCAGTCAGGCATCTTTATGATGTTTTCTCCTTAGTTTGATGCCTAGTTTGTCATTTGGTAGCATAACTTAACCATGATGGTATATTAAAGGTAGAATTATGTGTATGGAGCATGAAGGAGAACACACACCTTGATATGATTACAGTTGTAGTTGGAGTTCGGCTATAATTGGGTAACTCCCAACATGTAAACAGAGGCCTTGACAAAACATGCCAACCCTAACGCCTTTCCCACATGACACTAACATCATCTTACAGAAGTGGCGCACTGATGTTGCCCGGATGTGTTTTTTTTTAATGCTGCCACCAGGGGACAGTCTGATCATAGTGGCTTTACGTGTTTTGTTTTTTTTTTTGTTACAACCTACATATGTTTGTGTTTCAGTCTGCTAACGGAGGCAGATGCAGGACACACCGAGTTCATGGATGAAGTTTTCCAAAATGAGACCCGATTTCCTGGTGGAGAGTGGAAGGCTGCCTCTGAGCCCTTCACTGATGTGGTTAGCTCAACACGCTCACATGCAAATATTGTGCAGCGTTGCTGCAAATGACTCACACACGATCTTTGTCTTCATGTCTCTCAGAAATACACGTATGAATAGTAATCATACTCAGCAACAGCATACACATTTTCTTTTTTACCTGTAATGGAACGTCATCCTGTGATCAGTCATAAAATAGATCATTTTAAAAATGTGTGTGTGCAGCTGACAGAGTTTTTGTGTTGTTACAGAATGGGGAGAAGAGCCGCAACCCCGGAGAGTTTGATTGTCCTCCAGGTTGGATGTGGGAGGACGAGTGGACTGTGGACGACAACAGAGCCGTGGACGATCTAGGTGAAGACATTCACCAAACAGCTTAAACTATTAACTCAAAAGGGTTACTTGTATTGAATGGTTCATATTTGCTGTTCTTGTTTTTCCCAACCTGGTTTAATGAGGAGACTAAAATAAACACACAAGATCAAATTGATACCATATGTTCAGGGAACTGTTTTGCACATGTTTTCTGAATGTCTGTGTGTGCTCTGAAGGCTGGGAGTATGGAGTGACCATTCCTCCAGACGACAAGCCTCGGTCCTGGGTCCCTGCGGAGAAGGTCTACCATGTCCATCGCAGGAGAAGGCTGGTTCGACCTCGCAAGAGAACCGCAGCAGCCGGAGCAGCTATGGAGGTCAGTATGAGTCAGGAGGGCAGCACTGTGTACTGTCGCATCATTTGGTTCTAAATGGATGCTTATTTTGCAAAATGCTTTACTTTAATTTGATGTGAGAATAGTGCATTAATACTGACTGATTTCTCCACTTCATGGATTCGTTTCTTCTGTAGCTCTGAGTGAAAAAATGATTGAACTATGTGTCTGTTTAAACACTCAGAAAAGGGACCATGGTGACCCTGAGGGCTGGGAATTCTCGTCTCTTATCGGCTGGAAATTCCACAGAAAGGAGCGATCATCGGATACGTTTCGACGAAGGCGCCGGAGACGAAAGATGGGACCAGAAGATCGCCTCGGAGCGTCCGCCATCTTCCAGCTGGAGGGGGCATTGGTGAGTATGTCTTATTCTGATGTGGATCTGGTTTCACAAAGACAGAAAGTGAGCATGGCTTAACTTAGGTCAGGATTCAGACGGGAAAACAGTCTGAGTCCTTGTTTAAGTTGGAGAGGAAAGAATTTCACAGAAACAGGAACCAAATCTAAGCTCACAGGGCTGCTAATATTTTCAAATATTTACATTTGAATTAAGCACGTCTGCAGTGCCACGGTGTGTTTTCATTTGGTGTGTGACGCATGAACTTGTCTGCTTGGTTTGCTCTGCAGGGAGTTGATATGGAGGAGAAAGAGAAAGGCTCCAAAGCTGATGCCACCAAGATGTTTGGTGCCAACACGCCCACTGTGTCCTGCTCCTTTGACAGTGAGTGGTGCAAATACGAGTAAATGCATGTGTTCCTGCATACATATGTGTACAGAACGATGATAAACACCAGAATGTAGACAATGATACACAGCATACATATGTGATATAGATCCATTTACATGTTTTTTTCCTCCATAGGATCATACATGTACCATCTCCGTGTCTACGTCTATCAGGCACAGAACTTGGCATCTATGGACAAAGATAGTTTCTCTGGTAATGTTTACTTGTGTAGCTGAATTCTTAGTTTCTAATATCAACATAAGACTGTCTGTTTAGAATTTAAATTGCAAAAGTACATATTAAACAGGGCCATTAAACCAGCTACTTTTCCCATCACAGATCCGTATGCACACGTCTCCTTCCTGCATGTCAGCAAGACAACAGAGAAGCTCAGAGCAACGCTGAACCCAACCTGGGACCAAACTCTGATATTCAATGACGTAGAGGTTTACGGAGACCCCAGACACATTGCTTCCCGTCCCCCTGAGGTTGTACTGGAGTTCTTTGACCACGACCAAGTGGTAAGCTGTGGGAAATATACTGTATATAGACGACTGAATCTGTGCTCAGTGCTTGATTAAGTACTTTGTATGTGCTTGATTGTTGATTTTTTTTGTGTGGATATTTATTTTAGGGAACAAGTTATTTATGTGTTTCATTTTCACTTTCACTGCAAATGTCTTGAACAGAAAATTGAGTCAGACACAAAGGCACATTTGATATCTGTCTTGACATAGTTTTGTCTATATGAAGCTCATTTGCATTTGTTAAAAACCTCACCTGTGCGTGTCTGTTCTGTTACGTCCTTTGTTTACAATCTCAGTAGTTAATTTCTCATTAGTAGTAGACATAATCTTGGAAATTAGAGTTAAGTTCAGATGTAATTATGCCATTTGATCCTCTACACAGGGGAAGGATGAGATGCTGGGCCGCAGTATTTGCGTCCCACTGGTGAAGCTGAATCCTGGCATGGATGAGACACCAAAACTGCTGTGGCATCCCGTCATCCAGAAGGGGCATAAGGCTGGGGAGGCACTGGTGGCTGCTGAACTAATTCTTAACGACAAGGTTTGTCCTGTGTTACAGCATTTACAACAGGAATATTTCCTCTAGGCCTGAAGCTTTGGGATATTTTGGAGTCAAATCTCTTAAAAGATGTAGGAACTATTTAAGAACCTCCACCTCCATGTCCATCAATACATCTCATTACTTTTATGGATTGCAAAAAAAAAAAAAAAGTGTTTGGTGTAATGCCATCTTCACATCACATGCTGCCTCAGTTATTTCTCTGGTGCGATTGAGTGTAATCTTCCAAGGAAAACCAAAAAGTGTGATTTGTGTCTCTGTAGTCAAGTGAGTCAGATCTGCCCCTGGTTCCCCCAAAGAGAGCCGAGAACCTCTACATGGTTCCTCAGGGCATCCGGCCTGTAGTGCAGCTCACTGCAGTGGAGGTAATACACAACCACAGACACCACTGTCCCTCTGAACTGACATATACATCGTGTCTACAGCTTCCTTTGCGTGTGCATCAATGGTTTCAGATTCTCGCATGGGGCCTGAGGAACATGAAGACGTACCAGCTGGCCTCGGTGTCCTCGCCCAGCCTGGTGGTGGAGTGTGGCGGCCAGAGGGTGGAGTCAGCTGTCATCAAGAACATGAAAAAGAGCCCCAACTTCCCCAGCTCAGTGCTGTTCATCAAAGTGGTAATGACAGTGTTACACAAGCTAAAGGGTGTGGCTGGAAATCAGACAAGGAAGTGTCTGGGAGGGAGAAACATTTACCTAATTCAAAGTTATTGAACAGGGGAAGTTAGAATACTCACAGTTGAAAGAATTATATACAAATTCTGTGTGCTGGAAACTGTAAAAATGTAATCTGTCAGTGTCATTTACTTCTGCTTAATACTTTAAACACTGTTTTTCTGTCATCCCTATATTCTTAATCCAGCTCCTTCCAAAGGATGAGATGTACACTCCCCCCATTGTTCTGAAGGTGATCGACCACCGTCCGTTTGGCAGGAAGCCTGTGGTGGGTCAGTGCACCATCACTTCTCTGCAGGAGTTCAGATGTGACCCGTATGTCATCACCGCAGACGGAGCCATGGCCACGAAAAGTAGGGGCGATTCATAAAAATATGAATTCTGATACAATAAACACAGAGAGATAAGAATCCTTGTTCTAATGCTGGACTCCTCGTCGACAGTGTCTCTGATGATGGCTTCAAAACCCAAAGATGTTGCCATCATCATGGAGGAGACAAGACCACTGCTGGAAACTCAGGTAAACTCTTCCCACACACACATTACGTTGTGTCTGCTAACTCAAGTGCATAATTTGACTTTTAGGTCAAATTTGACGACCTTTAATACTCTGGCTCTGACAGTTTATGCACAGCATGTCGGCCGCTGTCGACAAATTGGCTTCTCCTACGTCCCACTTTGTATGTATGGTTACTTACTATAGCTTCCTAAATCACAACGCTGGGCACCAATGACACTGGAGGCTGAGAATCACTTAATCCACCGTGCTGCAGAAAGCTCAAGGAAACCCTCAGAATGCTGTCACAAATCATCTACATGGGAGTTGTCACAAGAACTGCGATTTCACTTAATATCACATTTTTTTTATTTTTATTTTTTTTAATGAGCACTTTTAATCATTGTTTTTTTTTAATCACAGCAAGGGCGTAACATGGAAATGAGCGTTCTAGACCCCTGACATCCTAACTTAGATGTAGTGAAATTTTGCTTTTGAACCCTCTTTCAGTATAGTTTTTATATTCTGTTAATAGAAATAGCTTTTAAATTGCCCTTATTTTATTTTCTCTCTATGTTACATGTGAAGCTACTGCCAGCAGCCATTCAGCTTAGCACAAAAACTCTAAACACTGGGAAACAGCCAATCTAGTACTGTCCACGTGGAACAAAACCCTGCTCCTAACACTTAGCTATTAAACTGTTTTAAGCACTTGTCATTTGTTAAGTCTGTGCAGAGACTCAAATGGACCCTGAGAGCAGCAAAACTGGGATTTCAGCATTGATTTCTAGTTGAAAACTGGGTGATGTTTGGTCTGAATGTCTAAGACCCCTTTTCAGTTACAATACCATTTGTCACAAAACACAAATTCAGTCAATCTTTCTAATATTTTGCTCAGTTGTATGTTGAAAGAATGACGATATCGATATTCGTGAATGTAAATCTCCAAAGTCGTGTTGCACTTTAAGGCAAAAAGTGGTCCAAACAAACACTTAATCTTAATGCATATAATGTGTATATGTCATGAGTGGAACTATATAGGCTTCCAGATAATTGTAATGGAACCAGTTAATGTAAAATAAGAAATTATGCTTACTGCTGTAACACACATGTACTAGGTGATACAACTTCGACTGCTTTGAAGGTAGAAAGTGCCCTTCCAGTCTAAGCAATGCGAGTGCCCTCATTAGATCTTGTTGCTGAAAAAATTTTACTTTTAAATCTGTTCTAAGAGTCTTTTTATGGATCACTTTGTTTTAATCAACCAGTTTTCAATAGAAAAATGCTCACAGGGTAAATACTACATGTTGATCCGTCACTAGTGGTTATGTACCAGACTATGTGAGGCCAAGAGTCGTCATGTCCTCATGCTAATGATGAAGCTTTTAGAAGTTACTGTGTCTGGCTCCCCCCTCTAACAGTGACAGTAATTAACACTGTCGACGTACGCCTCACCGTTTATAGTTTTAGATTTTCAAATGTAATCCTTTGTCTGAACGCTACATTTCTTTTTTTTTATCTGATGCACCGGGAACTTTTTTTTTTCTGTTCTGAGTTTTTCACACTATACTCCCAGTTGTTGTTGTCTTTTTCTTCTTCGTTGCTACGGTTACCCCTATCCTCAGCTGTGCCGAACCGATCATTGCCGGTTGTCACATGACGCGTTGCTACCAGTGTCCACAGACACAAGATGTAAAACTCTGTCATACAGCAAACTACAGAAAGATTTATCTGGCACTGAGAGGTTTAATTAGCATTGTGCAAACTCTTCTGGCAATGACTTAAATGCAACAGACTTTAATTTATAGGGACAAGTCCCAAACTCCAGCTTTAAAGATGCTGGGAGGTGGATTTTGTTATCTTCTGGACACAACCAGACAAGCTGTTTCCCTGTTTACAGTCTTCATGCTGAGCTTCAGCTTCATGTGTAGCACACAGACGTGACTGTTACAGATTTGTGTGTCTGACTTTTGTGATTAAAGCAAATAAGCTAGTTTCCTCAAATGTCATAACTAAGATTTAAATTAACCTAATGTTTAAAGTGTACAACAAAAAATCTGACACAGCAAAATAATCAGTATTATGTTGAGAGTGAAAAGAGAAGTCTTCCTCCTCTGATTTACAATCAAAATCATATATGACTGGTCATAATTCAAAGCCAGGTCTCTCTCTTTGGGAGGCATTAACCTAACCACTGGCATCATGTTACACATGAGACAGGAAGTGTTAGTGTTGGTGGGCCCTCTGGAGGCCAGTCGTCTTAGTGCAGATGTGCACATTCAACCTTTTTCACAGCAGATCTTTTGGCAAGTCATGGCAGGAAAAGCACTTTTAAGACAACAGTAATGATGGCTCAGTAAGCATGCACACTGGCAGAGCTGCCCATACATGGATGAAATAATACACACGTGCCTTTCTTGCTATGACATGTCAGCTGTGTTAAAAGTACACTCGCATCGCCCACTGTTACGCCCTTGCTTCACAGAATCGCTGTCAATGGTGAAACTGCGGCTGGAATCACTTCATCACATCCTTTTCTTCATCACAATTCACTGATTCACTTATCGATGTTTATAGCCTAGTATACGCACATCTTTCTGCATTTATGTACCTGCTGTATGTATTTGTGTCTTCTTTTCTGTTTTTTTGTCACATCGCACCTTCTTTCTCCGAAGCATGTAGAGAAGGTGAGAGACAATATGATAAAAGATTCAGATACTTGTACCAAATACCAAAAACAGGTTCAAATGCAATGCAATTCCATCTTTAGGAAAAAGAGACAATTGATTGGTGGAGTAAATTCTACTGTTCAACTGGAGACCGGGAGAGATGTGGTCCTTACCTCAAGAAAGGCTATGACACACTCAAAGTAAGCTGGCGTTATGTCCTCCCACAATAAACACAAAACAACATTAATGTACAAAATTGCACAATTATACCAAAACCTCTCTTTAGTTGACTTGAATGTGACCCTGTGAATTTTCAGGTCTATGACTGTGAGTTGGAGGGCGTCCCAGAATTCAAAGGGCTGACTGATTTCTGCAACACTTTCAAACTGCAGCGAGGCAAGAATGAAAACGGGGACGATGATCCCACTGTGGTTGGAGAGTTCAAGGTAGTCCGACACCATTCAGAACACTAATACTTCATTAGATGCTGTGTGATTTAGTTGGATTTATCACTGGAGGGGCCACAGTTACGTTGTAAAATGAACTGGATCTCCTCAGTGTGGTGTGTGTTCTTGTACCTGCAGGGTTCATTCAAGGTGTACCCTCTCCCAGATGACCCCGGAGTTGCTGCCCCGCCCCGTCAGTTCAGGGAGCTGCCAGACAGTGGACCCCAGGAGTGTCTGGTCAGGATTTATGTGGTTCGAGCCATAGACCTGCAGCCCAAAGACAATAACGGCAGAGTGAGAATGAATCTTTATTACCAGCAATGAAAGCCGCATATCACAGCAGACATGGCCTCCTCAGTATCTTCTGCTTGAGCTTGTCCTCTCTCTCCTGTTCAGTGTGATCCATACATAAAGATATCGCTGGGGAGAAATACAATCGATGACAGAGATCATTACCTACCCAACACCATCAGCCCCGTGTTTGGAAGGTAAACCCATGAATGAATTAAACAATTAAGATGAGAAGGTAGATCCGATAGATTTCTCACACTCTTATGTCTTGTTTAGGATGTTTGAGATGACGTGCTTCCTGCCTCAGGACAAGGACCTGAAAATCTCAGTCTACGACTATGATCTCCTGACTCGTGACGAGAAGGTCGGCGAGACAGTGATTGACCTGGAGAACCGCTTCCTGTCTCGATTTAACTCCTACTGCGGCCTGCCACAGACCTACTGCATGTAAGGACTGCATGTTTTCAGGTTTTTCAAAGGCTGAAAGGAAAATATGGAAAGATCTGAAATGCTGTTGAGAAAAGATGTTGTCAGATTGAACTGTATCTGTCTCATCATCTTAGTTCTGGTATCAACCAGTGGAGGGATCAGCTGAAACCATCTCAGATCCTTGAGACCCTGGCTCGCCTTAAAGGACTGTCCAAACCCAGGACTGAAGATAACGGCACCTCACTCAC